CAGCTTCCTGACACACAACCAGTTCATTGTCATTTTATAAATAGCCTACTATGATAGATGATCCATTTATATTGGCATACACCCAGTAATAATAATAATAATAATAATAATAATAATAATAATAATAACTAGACTGTGTGTGCATATTTTAACAGTTAAAGACAAAACAATGCAGGTTTTATATAATCTGACTTCAATAATATCTGTCTGTCACAACAAGGCTGCTCAAAATTAGCCCATTGCTGGCCACATTAATTATCTCGTGGGCATGCGTTAATTATAATGTGCACACGTGATATTTTATTCCATGTCACCAGATGGGCTCTGTATAAAACACCAGAATTTGCACATAACTGTTTTTTTTGTCAGTCAAAATACGTTTTTACTCCTCTTACATCTGTAAGAATCCACTGAGTTATACCAGTTTTTGTCATGTCTCTAGTGTTAGTAGTACAGCGGATGATTAATTTCTGAGTGTTGTTAAAATCCAACCAGTGGTTCTTGAGATATTTTGCTAACACAGACATGAGAGAGAACAGTATAAACAATAAGTTAACTTTGTATTTATAAAGACTGAAGCTAAAGATGGTGCCAGCTCATCTGTCCCCTCCCACCACCACCACTTGTGGACTCTGGTCCGTCGTCTCCACGCTCCTCTGCTCATCCCTTAAATTAATTCATCCGCACATCTCTGTCCCAAGAACACCACATTAACCCCGACCACAGGAGGCATCCTGGTGGAAAAAATGTCCCTCTCTGAAACATCAGGTTGACCTTTCCACCTCAAACCTTCTCTCTGTTTTTTCCCAACACATCCCTACATTCATGTCCTCAAACGTTTCGCTTCATCTTTATATCAAAAAGTTTTGTTTTTGTTTTTTTGTTTTTTGTCGATCAGAAAACAAACACGTAGTTTTGTTATTTTGGGAAGTGATGCAAAGACTCATTCCAAAGAGTCACGCCACGCTGCCTACAGCTCTGGAGGACAGGGAAACTGTAATTGGGGGCCATTAGCTGTCGCCCAAAACTAGTCAAGCAGCGTTAGTTTGTAGATTGAGACATGGTGACTGAACGGTCCCACCACCTACATCAGTGTTCCCTACCTGTGTGCGACTCCCTCACCCCCCGACCTCAACGACCTCCATCTCCACTGCCCTACACATCCACAGAGGGACCCTCCTCCCACTAGAACTCATCAACACACAAACATGCACACCTCCACCTGCACCTGCACAGCAGGCTCTTTGGTCGTCCACAAACAGACCTTGAGTCAGGGCCAACTCGACCCATCAGCAATCACATAAAAAGTCTCTTTTATAGCAGCTTTAAAACTCTATCAGGAGCATCTAAAGCCCGTCACTGAGATGAGAGTTTCTAAGAGTGAATGTTGATTCAGCGGTCACTTGATTATTCACCTGAATTTTCTCTGCTTTTTAGCTTTTGGTATGTTTTGTTCAATCTAATTACTTCAGCTTACTATGATCTACTTAAACTTTTTTATATTAAAATATTCAGCTCATTCAGGATATGGGTGCTGTGTTGTTTTGTTTTTGTAACTTTTATACTTTTCAAGATATTTAATTTTATTTACTAATATTTTCCCCATTAAAGTACATTAAGATATTTTTGACTAGCATCTGCAAAAGTTTAACTATTTGCTGTATTTAACTTTTAGCTAGTCTTGCGAGCTTTGGACCGACCTTTTGCTGCTTTTAGCTACCGTTTTGCTACATTTAACATTTTAGTTATATTTTTACTAACTACTTTGAGCGTTTGGCTAGCCTTTTGCTACATTAAATTTTTTTAGCTAGGCTTTAACTAACTGGAGCTTTTGGCTAAACTTTTTTTTTACTTTTAGCTAGATCTTTGCTAGTTTTAGTTACTCTTTTACTATATTTAACTTTTTTGGCTAGTCTTTGCTACCTTTAGCTTTCGGCCAACCTTTTGCTACATTTAAATTTTTACTACTTTACATTTTTGGCTAGCCTTTTAGTCTTTTACTACTTTAAGCTCTGAATCAGCCTTTTGCTCATTTTTGCTTAAACTTTGCTACATTTAACTTTTTATTTATTTATTATAATAAAATTGTTATTATTATTTTGTCTAGCATTTTGCCATGTTTAGCTTATGGCTAATCTTTTGGTACAATAAACTTTTTAGCTAGGCTTTTACTACTTTGAGCTTTTGGCTTGCATTTGCAAATTTTAGCTAACATTTCACTGCATTTAACGTTTTAGCTAGCCATTGATTACTTTCTTTTCGGCTAGCCTTTTGCTACATTTGGTTAGTCTTTTGCTACTGAATGTTTAATGGGTGTAACTTCTGGTTGTAAATGCATTTTTCTATGAATCAAAGTTATTTTTTAACATTTATTAATGTCCTGTTTATTAGCTCATATTCTGCATTAGGCTAATGGAGCAAAGGAGCCCCCTGCAGCCACAGTTAGTGAAGCTGTAGTTTCATCGCCCCGCTCATAAAAAAAAAAGTTTCTCTGCTTTATGGCCACATTGCCCAACAATCACATGCCTTCAGCGCTACAGGATCAAATATGAGATAAGGAGAGAAGGCACTGAAACAACGCATTATACACACCTTTTTAAATTAAAAATCCACTTTAAAAATCGTCATTGTGGAAAAAGAAAATTACTTTTCCTTTGGAAGATAAAGTCACTCAGAATGACTGAGCTACCTTTGTTGGATTCGTTTTATAAAATCATGTTTTGATGATAAGCTGATTACCTTATCCTTGACAGCAGCGCACAGCGAGGGCAGTAAAGGCGCGGATTACAGGCTGATGGTCCATAAAGGGTTTGGCTCAGATAAGACAGTTTGTTGGGGGACTGGTGACTTCAGGTCAGTGGAAACCAGGTCCTTCTTGGAGACACTCGGCCACCTTTGTAACATTTTACCACAAACTGGCCTGAAACCTGGTCTGGTTTTACAGGTAGGTACCAAACTAAAAGAAGGGTTAAACTTGGAGAAACTTCTGGTGTTTCCAGCAGAGCAGATGAGGCCATAAAAAACCCTGCGGTCCATGAAAGGCAGACATTCTGACCTTTAGACCGCTTCTTACTTAGACATGCCGGATGATTGCCAGGATGTAAAAATACTTTGAAATGCAATATTTGTGAGTGCTTGTTCTTTATAAAACTGCCATTGTGTGGGATTAATCCAGTCTCATGAAGTTTCACCTAGCTTGATTAACCTCTTGTTGTCATGCCTCTGCAGTCACAAAGACATTCCTCCTCACTCAGGTCCACCTTTTCTAATATTCAGAGTGACCCCTTTAATGAGCCTAATGGCATATGAGCGATACCACGCTCCAGTGAAACCGCGCGGGGGGTGACTGCTTCAGCAACTTCCTGTAATGCGGCGCAAACTCTCATGGCCGCTGTCTGTTTGAAGGAAGCCATTAGAACAAACTGCTCTCAGGTGCAGCAAAGCAGACCGGGCATGGTTGTTTATGAACCAGATCACCTCTGGGTGCCCTGTGTGCAAGGACAAAACACAAGACCGTCTGAGTGGACGGCGAAAAGCTGCAGGAGGAAGTAAAGGGTGGCAGCAACTGTTGAAGGGAAGGGTTACAAGAGAGTAGAGAGATGGTTTAAAGGCAGACAGAACTGGAAGAGTCAACGCTGAAGATGTTGAGGTTCTCCTTGAGAGAGACAAGGAGGGATGAGATTAAGAATGAGCTCAGAGGAACAGGACAGGGTGAACAACAGAGATGAAGTTAGAGACCAGATTGAGAGGGTTTGGACATGTCCAGTTGGTATGTTGGTTTGGACACATCTAGAGGTGGGAAAGTGGGTATGATGGCTTCAACACATCCAGAGGAGGGACAGTAGGTATACAGTATATTGGTTTGGACACGTCCTGAGGAGAGACAGTGGGTATATTGGTTTGGACACGTCCTGAGGAGAGACAGTGGGTATATTGGTTTGGACACGTCCTGAGGAGAGACAGTGGGTATATTGGTTGGACACGTCCTGAGGAGGGACAGTGGGTATACTGGTTTGGACACATCATGATGAGGGACAGTGGGTATATTGGTTTGGACACGTCCTGAGGAGAGACAGTGGGTATATTGGTTGGACACGTCCTGAGGAGGGACAGTGG